ACTTAGCTAAGGACCATGACCGTCATCCTTGCACATGATCCCAAGCATCCCCTGTTTTAGGCAGCTACTTTAGCATTTCTGACACCGCAAGACACAACACTTTCTTTTCCAAGGAGGCAAATTAAACTCCAGGGCTGCCATCATTCACCCTGTGTGAATTGGCAGAATTCGTGTAGCACACAGCTGGTTTTGTAAGCAAGAGGGGATCAAACATTATGTTGGACCCCAGGCCAGAGTGAGCATGTTGTGGCACTGCCTACAGCTCCTAGAGGCTTCAGCACCTAAGATGCTTTGACTGTCGTTCTTCCCCACAGTAGGAAAGTACTGCCCTGTCTGGAGTGGTCTTAGCTTATTCCCTAGTGCAGTGATTCTCAACACGGTGCCACTGCACCCGGGGTTGCCTTGAGATCTTTTCAAGGGTGCCGTACAATGTTAGGACTGTTAGGTTTGCAAGCACGATTCACAAGATAAACCCAGAGACTTCAAATAGAAATCGATAGATGTGGCCTTTCTGAGTTCCTTGCAACAACAAAACTGCTCTATTATTTTCTGGAGTCAGAAAAAAAGAGAACTAAGAGCTGGCCTTTTCCAAGGGGTGCTGCAAATCTATCCAGGCATACCTTGAGTCTAAAAAGGTTGCGAACCACTACTCCAGTGGATATCATAAAGTGCCTTATATGCACACAGCACTCCTTGCACTATGTAGCATAACCTCTGGGGAATAAAGGAGCCTGGGTACCAAAAATCACTTGCTCAGCCCAGATGCGCAAAGCTGGAAACAGGATAAAAACGAGAGCAACGTGATGAGGGAAAGATGTTTGTTGGCCCTGCCAACTCCAGAGAGAGCACCCATGAATGATCACACAAATTCCTGGACAGTTTTGTACTCTTAGGTCCAAATTTTCTCACTATGCTGCCTTAAAAAGGAACCTGTGCATGACATGCTGGCTTGCCATGTATTGTCTTGTCTGCTGAGTGTTTTTATTGTTTGGCATTAAGGAGTTGGTGTCTTTTCTGAGAAGCAGAGGATTAGAAATCATCTCCATTGATCTCATGCTTTGTTAATACCATACCTAATCAAGCTAGTGAATTTGGCCTGATGTCAAATGTGATCCCATTTGGCCAGAATCCAAATTAACCTAATTAATTCCAGTTTGAGTTTAAAGAGAGCCAGCAAGGATATTAGGCCCAGCATTTCCCCAGTCTTTCTTTCTGTATTCTTCTCCTCAAAAATCAAATGCTTGTTAAAAAGCAAATAATTGTCAGCTTCCCACAATGTTTTTAAGTTCCTTTATAACAAGAGGTTGCTTATATAGAGCTAGTCTCATGAGTGACCTTAGTGCAGCAAGTAGCTTCACACAACTGACATGAATTATACAGCGAGAACCCATTGGTCTTGTGCAATGCAGGCAAAGGGAAAAAGTTAAGAAAGAGCTGTTTCTACCTCCTTCAAGCTCTTACCAGAACCTGGGAGGTGGATTGTTTATAAGAACTGGTAAAAAGCAGTGTTTAAAAGTTGCTCCAGACTTTTAATTTTGTATTTTAATTTCGTAATCGTGTCTGTGTAATATATTTGAGGGCAGAAAGAATGATCATCCACCGCTGTGCTGTGTCTTGCCATGCTGGCAGCTGTGGTCACGGTGAAGGTGACAGATTGGTATTTTGTCAGTGTTGCTATTAGCTGAGAGTCTGTCCTAGGGTAGGGTGTAATCTGTGAATGTCGTGGAAATGGAGCGGGGGTTGGTTGTTCTTCACGCACAGTCATATTTTTTGCATTTTGGTATGGCCAGACTGCAGGGGTGTTCATGGGCTTTCCCTTGTAATTTTCCACCGCCTCACTCCCAGGTTTTGAGTTGTTGTTTGTGCTCCCTTGTAGTTATGAGAAGATTAGATTCTGCCTCTTTCATCCAAAGGCTCGGCTTTGCAAAACAAATCTCCTACTAGGATAAAAGGCATACAACAACGTGCTTTGTGACTCAGGTGACTGCATTACCTGCCTATTGTGTGGCCGGTCACTGGTGGACCGGTTTGAAAAGCCAGAGCCATTTTTGACATGCAAAGACTGCAGACTTCAGAAGCGGTTGAATGAACGTATCTTAGTGAAGAGGGGGGAAACGTTTTCAGTGGGTGCCCAGACAGATAAGAAGGTAATGAGAGGAAGGACTCAGCTGAGTGGTGCATGCAGCCTGGCACAGCAGCTCACTGCTCTCTGGATTTCAACAATTTGTTCTGATTTCTTGCTGAACGCTGTTGGTGCTAAGTTCAGTATTTCACAAAAGCATTTATTGTCACAGGCAGGGAGGAATCGGTTGTTAGTGTTATAGCAGTATCTCAAGGCCTATTACGCATGGGGCTGCTGCCACTTGAAAAGTAGCTCATGCCCAGAAGAGTGAGTAATCCAAGTGGGCAAGGCAGGGATAGGGTGGCCGGTACAAGGGAGGTGAACTTGATGTGCCTGAGCTCATGTGTCAGCTCTGTGGTCATACCAGCACACAAACCTAGGTCCCTTGTGTCCCAGTGCAGTGACCTACCCATTAGGTGATGGCTTTTCACTGTATTGCCGCATATCGGGAGATGATACTGCTTCCCCCCTTCCCCCGGCCCTACCACTTCCTTTGTAGAGAGGGCAGAGGGGCAGGAGGCTTCCTCGCTTCGTCACCCTTAACTGGGATTTCCTGACGCGGCTCACCCACAAAGGAACGGATCAGCACCGAGGGGTCGCAGACTTTCCCTTGGCCGCTCCAGTTTTTGCAGCTCTGCCTTGGATGTCAGTTTGGTTTTAAGAAAAAAAGGAAAGGGCGAGGAGGGGAAAGCAGGAGAGGTGCCGTCCCTTTAAACATGTAAATGAGCGTGTTCAGAGTTAAATCTCTCCCTTCAAGCCCCTTTAAGACTTGACACTTTCCTCCCCTTTCCCCAGTGCTGTTTGTTTTTACACTTGACCTGTGGTACAAATCCCATTATGGCATTATCTCTGTGTGTTTAGTTTAGGGCCCAGAGTGGCTGTCTCCAGCCCTGCCTGAGCAGAGCGTTCTCCCCTGTAGGGGACGGGTCTCCATGTTAAGTCTTGCCACCTGTTGCCTTTTTCATTCCAGGTCCCTCTCCTCCCCCCTCCACCCCAGCTCCCCTCCCCACATTGCTCACCATCCCCAGTGGATAGGGCTGGGATTGGCAGTCAGTTGCCAAATACTTTTCTGATGCCGTCACCACTTCTGCACAGAGCGTATCTCGGAAAGCACAAGTGAACCTTTTCCAACACGCCGTCCTGTGCTTTCTGCACTAGGCATTCAGCAATGCCCCTTCCTCGCAGGGTACGTGCGAGGGGCTGCGCCACAGCTGATTTCGGAACGGACACAGAGAAACGGAGGAACGCTGAAGCGGCGCCCAGAGAAGCCGTTGCAAATCAAAGCTGGCGTTCGGCACGGGCTAATTTTGTATTCATGGTTACACGTATACACACCCATGTCATTCTGCATCATCTGCTACGTATGAAAGCTGCCCCAGCCTCCCGCATGCCAGAGATTGCTTTAGTAAGAGATCTGTACCCATTTTGGGTACATTACAGCACTTATTGGGCCATGGAAGCCATCGTAGCGGTGCAGGCTGCCAGATGAACTGGCATTAACTAGATACCGGTTGGCTGGAGCTGCAGCTTTGCAAAGCTGCCCTGCCACCCATAAAAACAGTAGACTGCTCGTGTACCTTTCTGCAAGAGTTAGCTCCAAATTGAGGTGGGCAAAGCAGCGTGTTCGGTATTGGCACAGTTTGGTGAGGGTGGTTGCGGCTAAGGGACTGAGGGTCTTTTGACATATTCTTATCCCAGCTCTCCCTGCTCCTAGTGTGACTTCTGGATCAATCTCTTAACCACAGCACTCCACAGTGAGTGCTCTTTAGGGAGGGCTCTGCATGCGAGTGTCTGACATTTCCAGACAGTGCTGCGTTCCACCCGCTGACAAGTAGGCCCCTTCAGAGTGCCACATATTGGACACCCAAATACCATTAACTGCTTGTGTGCCTCAGTTTCCTTGTCTGTAAAAGAAAAGCAGTGATACTTGCCCATCTGTTTAAAGTGCTGTCAGATGAACGGATGGAAAGTTCTGTGAAAGTATAGGTTATTAATACTGGGTATAGCCATATGGTGCTGCTGCCTTAATTACTGCCTTGTTGGACACAACTATGGAAAACCAATGAGCTTACCAACTTACAGAAAGAAAGACAGGAATAGAAACAAAGTTGGTGCGTTCTTGTTTTATTATTTGTACTCTTGATGCAGAATGAGGTCCGGAGCCCTCTCCCTCCCACCTGATAGCCTTGTTTGTGCTGGCTGAGCTTCAAACTGGTATCCCCAGTGTACCAGTTAAACCAGTAGTTACCAATTTTTTTGCAAGCCACACTGGGGTTGTAGGAATTTTATTCTTTCACAGTGTTGAAGGAAAGGCGTCCTGCTTGCCAAAGGGCTTTCTTATGCTTGAGGGTGATTTATAGGCCAAGCTGAGCCACTTGTGGAAAAGGCAAAGCAGCTCTTGGCAGCGCCCCCAGAATCCACTGCAGCTGTGGGGTAGTGAAGTCATCGGCATAACAACCATTGCAAACAGAATAACAAAGTCTGCTCTGTTCTCATTTAAAATACACTTTCCAATTCAGAAACCACATTAAAACTCACCTTTCTGCATACACTAATAATAAAAAAGGCAGATGTCTCCCGGCAGTATGGTGTGAATGGCTCAATTATATTTCTGCTTCATTTTAGCCCTTGTATCATAAACTTTGTGACATTCCTATTTCTAATGAATGAATGAAGGCAGCATTGTGTTGTGGTTTACATTTGTCTCTGTCCCTTTGTCTCTTCCATTTGTGGCTGTGACGGATCATTTAAAGAAGCCGCAGAAAAGATCAATATTTGTTTTAAATATCAAGTTTGCTTTGCCTTTTATCCTGGCACTAAAATTACTGAAAAGAGTAATTATTAAATTTCTGCCCTTTTTCCCGCCTCTTCCCTTTAGGTCCCTTCGGATCCTCCTGCTTCCAAAAAACCCAAAATAGATGACTCTACTTCTCAGTCTCCAAATTCAAGTGAGAAGGAAAAGCAGTCCAGCTGGTTACGGTCCTTGTCCACTTCATCTAACAAGGTGACTCTTAACACAGTTTTGTTCAAAGTTGACAGATAAAATCAGTACTTGGTGTCCTTCTACTGAGGCCAGTAGAGCAAGACAAGGGATGACTTTGGCCCAAGCCTCCTAAATCCAAGACCTTCCCTCCTTTCCCTGAAGAGCAGTGAGTTTTCCTGTCCTCCCATTTTTCCTGCCATCTCTCATTGAGCCCTGGCCTCGCTGTGAGATGAAGCAAGCAGTTTGTTCATGCTTTGGAGGAACAGGGATTCTGAAAGACCCAGGAGCCTCGTGTGTTCCCTTGCAAACCACATATTATTTATTGGCAAGCACCGCCTGTATAGTATTTTAAATTTAATCCAATTCAGCTCTTCCAGTGAAAGCTGCTAAGCAATTAAGTCCAGTAAGCCAACCTGGCCTGGGAATTGGGTTAGAGATAACAGAATGCATGCATGTGTACGCACACGCTCCCAGCCTCTCTCTGCTGCAGTTTATACTTTTAGAGAAGATATGGGTAACGCTGACCTATTTTCATTCATGTCGTTCCTTTTTCTTTTTCTTCCCTTGCAGAGCATTGGCTGCGTCCACCCCCGTCAGCGACTCTCTGCTTTCCGGCCTTGGTCCCCTGCTGTTTCAACAAACGAGAAAGACCTCTCAACACATCTTCCCACATTGATGCGAGACAGGTAAGAAGACATGAATCAAATGGGAGATAAGTTGGCAGCTGCAGACTTTTCTCTTTCAGAAAGATCTGTCAGATTGCTGGGTATTTCCTTTGACGTGGTATCACTGGCAAGTGGGTTTTCATGAGTGAGATGTCCCATGAAAGACTGTAAAATGAAAGGTCTTTCCGTGAGCTAATCTGATGGTGCAAAGGTGCACAGTGATTTTGTGCAGATGCTCCAGGACAGTGGTCCCCAGCCTTCGTGGGTTTTGCTGTGTAGGTGTTTGTTACTTGCTTTCCTTTCTGTACAGTTTCATTTCTTTTCATGCACAGGTCTCTACATGTGCACAGCACAGGAACGTTTGTGTCTATACTTAAAGTTGTCTGACACTCCATTTTAAATAGTCATTTTTATTTGCTGGTAACTTTGTGAAATTTGAACTATTTGGGCTAATAATCTTCCTGCAAGGTGCCTGCCTCAGGCTAAATTAATGGCTCCCCCCAGACATGTTTCAACTAAAAAGATGCAGGTGTTTTTGAGAAGGGATTCTAGAAAATGCATAAATACATTGGCTCATGTTAAAAAAAAAAAGGGGAGGGAGGGGGGAGGCTCAACAGTTTTGTTGAGAAACCTGAACAGGCTTGGAATTTAGCTGGGAGTAACACTTGTGTCAGAATGTGCCATTTCCTGTCCCTGGAAGAAATCTGACCAGTTCAGAAGCCTCTGAAAAAATTCAGTTTGTACATGCTTAATGAAACTTCAGTGTGTAATTAAAGATTTTGTCATACTGAATATATACAGGGGAGCTGACTTCAGGTTACATGGACAGCCTTAATTCTGGCATTTCCTAAATTTAGAGTGCTTGACATTGCAACAGTGATGCCTTTTAACATGTTTTTTGGATGTAATTTAATATATATGCACTCAAATACTTGCCATGTGGAGAAATAAATTATATGCTGCAGTACATTGTTTGCACTCTCATGGCTTTTCTCCAAGATGTGCAATCTCTAAGGTTGCAAGACATTTGTGGGTGGGTAAAAGTAAAAGCTCAACATCTTGAAAAAATCAGTAAAGTGCCAGATACATAAGCGTAAAATAGGATTTACTTTTTGGAGACTTGAGTCTCCAACCTCTTTTGTATTTGCACCGTATGTAGTACTGAAACTATAATGTTCACCACAGTGAAAGGAGGGTATATCTGTAAATCTCTCCTCTGCGTTCAGAACTGTGGCTCACCTAACCAGTACAGAGATTAGACCAGATCCTCAGCTGATGTAAATGAAGGCTGAAATCAGCAGAAATCCACTGAGTCGTGTCAGTTGAGGACCTGGCCATTTGTGCATAACACTTTGATTAAGAGGCACTTTAAAGGCAAGACAACTCAGTGTTTTACCTCTCCCTTTTTCAGCAGTTTTTATTCCTACAAAAGTTTTGAGAGTGCCATAGCTCCCAATGTGGCACTCGCGCCTCCTGCTCAACAGAAGATTGTAAGCAATTCCCCATGTGCCACAGTGGTGTCACGGAGCAACGAGCCACTGAACAGCCCTGCCCAGCCCCGGAAAAGGAAGCTGCATGCAGACACCCCAGCGGTTCCAGAACCAGTGGCCACTGTCACCACCACCGAAGAGGACAAGGAATCAGAAGCAGAAATTGAAGTAGAGACCAGAGAGGAATGTAAGTGTGAGTTGTTGCACTTGCCTTTCATTTTTCTCCCCACCCCAGTAATCTTGGGTAGAGTTTTCCACAAGATCCCAAAGGTGCTCAACCCCATTTTGATTCATGTCACCTGAGAACCGACATAACTGCCTTGGGTACCTAGGAAAAGCCCAGTCTTACACAATAATGAAAAACAGGAAATTAACACCTACAAACCTGCATGTGATATTTTTACTGGAGGTTTACCCCCCAAAAGCCCATGCCTCAAATGCTTCCACAAAACCTGAATCTGTGGCACTGAACTGGGGAGGGGCTGTGCGGATAAGTACAGTATGACATTTGAATAGAAAACCTGTGGTGCTTTGCTAGCTGATGCAGGAACTGCTCTCAAAACATGGCCTGGGGTTTACTTCCACGCGGAGGGAGATGTTTGGCCTGTAAAAAGCTGGCTTGCGCACGGCGTCGACTGTGGAATTGAGGTGCAGAAGGAAAATATGGCCCTGAGTGGCAGATCTTCAGTTTGGTATCCGGGGGCTCAGGCACACAACTGCTACATCTGTGTCGGTTCCCTGAATTTCACTCAGTTATGTATGTCAAGTTCCACTTCGTTCCCGTCATGAGGGTTGAGGCATCGAGTGTCCCGTTCAGGTCAATGAAAGCTTTGCCATTGGCTTCAGTGGGTGGAGGATCAGTCCTTAATCTACGTACAGAGTTTATGCTGTAGTGCGTTACGTGAGTGAACTTCATCCACAGGGAATAATGGGACTTCCTCATCCAGTTCTCCCCAGTGCTTTGGCAAGGTTTTCTGACCAGGGAGTGCAGAGAATTTGCATGCACTTAAGAGCCTGGTTGGCTGAACCCCAAAGTCCCGGAGCAGGCAAAATTCCCATTGCCCTTGCTGGAAGCCAAGTTGTAGCCTTGGACTTGGAAGTCGTTTGTATTTTTGTCCTACCTCAGATATCAGCATATAAAAATATTCCTTTCCTTTTTGTTTGTAACTTACAGATTGAGATGCTCCTCTTTTCAGAGGCTTTTTAATTCCAGGTTTTCACTAATGTTTGGATGTTTTTGGTTTTATTTTTAGTTACCTCCTCTCTGTCCTCGCTGTCCTCCCCATCCTTCACTTCATCCAGCTCTGCAAAGGACATGAGCTCGCCGGGAATGCAACCCCCAGCCACAGCCAGCAACTCTTTTGAGGTTGCAACCCATGCTGACTCTCACAGCAGTGGATTGGAAGCCGAACTGGAGCACCTACGGCAAGCTCTGGACAGTGGTCTGGACACTAAAGAAGCCAAAGAGAAATTCCTTCATGAAGTTGTTAAAATGAGAGTTAAGCAGGAGGAGAAACTAAATGCTGCGTTGCAGGCTAAACGCAGCCTACACCAGGTAAAATGCAAAATAGCTTCTTATTGTCATTGTCTGCAGATCTCCGAACCAGTCAGCTAGCTCTGCGTTAAAAACACTTCTCGGGTCTTCCCACGATGGCAGTACCATTCCCAGGAGTTCTGATTCAAAACACAACTTGGAGGCCAGTTTATGCAGGAGAAGGTTTTTTATGTTTTGAGACCCACCGCCCATTCCTGCTTAAGAACCTGAATCCACCCCCACCCTTTTTCTTGTTCTTTTTTTAAAAACAAAATCAGATTTTTTGTGGCACTGGGAAGCTTTCCCAGCCTCTCAGAGCAAAAATCTCTCACTGAAGGATTGTCTTATTTATGGCACTGTAAACTATGTAAAATCCCTCTGCTGTCCAGCCCAGGCAGGTATCACCAGGGCATACAGACACTTAGCAAGTGAGCCAAGATGTGGCGAGAAGTTGAGTGCTCCAGTCTGTATTGAGCTTCCTCCACATTTTGCACGTGCCAAGCCCTGCAGGATGAGTGAACACAACCTGCTGTTCATCAGTGGAAAGCCTTTCCCCTCCCTATTTGTGCAGGCCTCTTACACAAGGTGATTAGGTGCCAATGGCAGCAGGTGGCATAATGACAGTGGCTGCACAGAGAGGCAAGGGGAGCTTTTCACTCTCCTCTTCAAGCAGTGTATTTGGAGCTTAAGTTAGTTAATAATGCATTGCACTCCACGGACCAGGAACCTACTTTGTTACAATAAGGGATAGTTATATTTAGCAAACAGCCAGGAGTAGATGAAACAGACTCTTGGCCAAAAGTGGGTAAGGGTTTTCCTGTTAGCCAGCAGACACCAGGGTTTGGGGGATGGGCTCCAGGTAGACATGTGATCTGCTTGCACTAAAGCTCTGCGTGGTTAGAAAACAGTATTAAACCTAGGTGCTCTTGCCAGTTTCCCAACAGGAGGAATGCAAGCGAGAGAGAGATACTACTAAATGTCTGGTAGTATATTTTGAACCAAAGTCTGCTAGATTCATGGCACTGGGTGCAGTTCTGCAGGCTACTGCCCTACACTGACATACTGTCTCGGTTGTAGCATGTGGTCCAGAGGGAAGGGAGGTCCAGCTGTTTTATTTAACTCAAGCTGCTCACTCAGTTTGGTACCTTGGGGACAGCCACTTGGTTTCCTTGTGTTTCAGTGAAGCCAGTTATGCATTGAACAAGAAGTTCACATCAAGAGTTGAGCTTTATGGAATTAATCAAGCAAGACTGCGATGTACACAGAGAGGATGATGTCTGGCCATCAGTTTCCATTTTGGCAGCTGTGGTTTTCCAATTCCACATACACAGAAAGTACTTACATACCCCCAGTGCTGAGGTTGAGCTAACAATGGCCTGGCTGGGAAGTGAGATTGTCAAAGGAGTGAATTTCCCATGACCTGACAGCAGAGTGTTACTTAACAGAAGCCTGTTACTGTGAGGGTTTGACTCTGGCAGAGAGGAAATGTTGCTGATGCTGCTGCTGGAAAAAAAAGTTCTATCACAGTTCATCCAATTTAACCCTTTGAAAAACCCAGTCACTGAGCAAGCCATGACTGCTAAACAGCAGCACAAGTAATAGGTGCGCAGGCGTACATGTCTCTTCCCCCCACCCCACATTGTTTGTTACCTCGCTCTATGTGTTTCCATGCCATTATTAATCTGATTTAATGGCTCGTACTTGGGTTTGAGTTTTCATGCTAAGGATTTGGATGGCAGCAGAGGGATAGTTGTTAGAGGGCAGCACAGTCTGGACAAAGCTTAGCTTTTAGAAAAAGGTTTTCCTAAATGTAATGGAGCATTCTTTTGGCTCATTGCCAGGAGCCCCAGGGCTGCACACAAACACAGATAATAAAGCAGAACTGCTTAGCATGAAAAACTCACTCATTTTTGGACTTCTCAGTAGATAAATCAAAACTATTTGTTGACTTCATTAGTAAATTACCAACACTTTCTTGACCAGCTCTGATTTTCATAAAGGACCATCCAGACAGCACCTGTCTCAAGTTCATGCTGTCTCAGTTTAGTGCCTATAGTTAATGGCCAGCCGTTAGCATTGGTTCATTTGACTGCTGTTCTGAAATGTTTTGGCCAGTGTAGTGCATGTTGTTAAATTGCTGGTACCTCCACTGCTAGCTTCTGTTCAAACTTGGAAACTGTCCTCTTTTGCATGACAGTAAATGCAAAGTTTGGATGTGGCCTGGCTGGCTTTTTAAAAGCCCAGAGTGTATGGTGCATCACCTCAGGATTTTGGCTTGTTCCAGTGGATGGAACTTTTGCAAATTCAAACCCAGGGTCAGATTTCAGGCTCAGGCTCAGGCTTTCCTACCAGTAAAACGTTCCCGTGGCGTTTGAGTCTGGGATTCTGGTTTGGATCCATCTCTCTATCACTTTCCCTTCCTTGCTGTACTCTTGTATGAGCCTGTCTTGGTCTCATTAGTCTCTGCACCTGCTTGTACTTTCCAGGAGCTGGAGTTTCTGCGTGTGGCAAAGAAGGAGAAGTTGAGAGAAGCGACAGAAGCAAAGCGCAACTTGAGGAAAGAGATTGAACGCCTCAGAGCTGAGAATGAGAAAAAAATGAAAGAAGCCAACGAGTCGCGGATACGGTTAAAGCGGGAACTAGAGCAAGCCCGCCAGATCCGGGTTTGTGACAAGGGATGCGAAGCAGGCAGGCTGCGGGCCAAGTACTCTGCCCAGGTAAGATCAGACCTCACAGCTGATGGATTAGCAGCTTGTCTCTTTTCCAGTTTCTAGGACTAATTGCAGTAGTACCCATCCTCAGGCTAAATGCCTGTTTAGTGCAAGAGATACTCTTGACTTATATAGCTGAAACCTATTTTTATAGGTATCTGGGCCACAGAGTACCCCCATGAAGTGAGGAAGAATTGTCGCTCCCGTTTTCAAGATGGGGGAAAAAGAGGCACAGAGGGACTGAGTGCCTTGCAATCAAACAGGAAAGCTAGTACAGCAAAACAAACCCTAAGCTCCAGCCCAGGACCTGCAGCAGAACGCCATCCTTCTTATCAGGCATGAGCCCCTGTAACACATACAGCCAAGCACAGACTGGGTCTTGATGCTAGTAATCCACGTCAGCTGAAATGCACATTGTAAAGAGGGCCAACTCATCAGTTAGCATCATTTCAGTCCTACTACAGCTCTGTAGGCCACATGCCATCCCTGTGCACGGTAGTGGATTTCACCCAGTATGAATATTAGGCAAAGTCACTTTCCCTAATCGGATTTCCATGGAGATTAAATTAGATCTCAAGGAACCGCAGATTCAGTTGGAAAGGATGAGCTAAGGCCCAAGCATGGGCAGACTGCTGCACTGGAAAGGCATTGGATCTATATGTGCCTTAGAACAATAAGAAAACAAGCCCATCTAAGCAAATGAAAACACTTCAGAAGTAATTTCTGCAGAAGTCCTGGGAGGGTGGGACTGTTTGTCTGCCAGCGTCTCATATCTGTACGCCTATAAATTGACCGCCATCACCCTCACCCTGCCCCATCCTCACCAGATGCTCTTCTAATGAAATGTTAAAAGCTTCCCAAGCCAAGTGGAGCAAGAGTTCAGCCTGTGTTCCCTTAAGCCACCACGTTGTGTCTCGGTGTTGTAGGGCACGTGGAAGGCAAGGCCATTCACTGCTCCAAGTCCCCTGAAATGACCCTGCAGAACAGGCTGAGCTGAGAGCTCAATGGCACCTGCCTGGATTTGTGTGACAAACTAGTATGTGGCCCTCCCCTGCCCTCCTCCTAATAAAACCACCCAGTTACTCCAAAACTACCTCCACATAAAAGAACAAGGCTCTATATCCCTCATTAACCCCCTCACAGCTTTATCCCCCTCCATAGGGCCCCAAGCAGCGCACCTTCACAGGGCTAATTCCTTCCCTCGCCTCATTTGCCCTCCTCTGGCTTTTACTCTGACCTGCTCCCTCCTTCATCTCCCAGTGCCTCCCACTGCCCTCAGTGGTCATCGTGCCAAGTCTGGTTGAAAAGTGGCAAATTTAAGTTTTCTGGTCACGGGGAGACAGGGCAGATTCACTGTGAGCAAGCCTGCCTCCTTCCTGCTAGAGTGCATCCCTTCTTATTAACTCCCTTTCCAAAGTCAGAAAGCAGCCAGTGATCTTGGTTAAATTTAGGCCCATACAGAGAAAAGACATGCAACTTATCAACTACCAGACAGCTAGGTTGTCTATTGACACAGGGCCTATAAGAGTGGGGCAATAGGGAGGATAAGGTTATACGGGGGCCCCAAGCTCAGGGGCCTCCTAAAATCAGGTCACTCTAATTCCTATTCCAGTATGCAAGCTGGATCCCCTCTATCAGGACATACTGGGTCCCCAAATTTCTCTCACACGCCCTGTACTGCTCTGAACTTATATTAAAGAGGTCCCTTCAAATCACACCTAACAGCTTAGTTATTAAATGTGTGGTGTTAAATTCAGCGTGTGTGTGTCCTCCATGTGAAGCTGGATTGCTGGTCATGCCCCCAGAAGCTTAACTGCCAGCCTTTGAAGAGTTACTTTATAAAAAGAAAAAGCAACAACCCCTGAAACTCTCCTAACCCACACTCTCAATAACGGGAAGGGGAGTGGTTCACTTATACTGCTCTGAGACATGTCTAACCAGGAGACCAGAAGCAGGAAATGATGCGGGCTTCCTCCCTAGCATCACGGGATGTCTCACTGATAAGAAGTGTCCAGACTAAACAGAAGTAGACTGAGAACTGTTGCACAGGGCGTTACCTGCAGTTGACTTCCACTTTAGCAAAAAAACAAAGCAACAGCCAGTGCAGACAAATAAGCTCTTCCCTTACCAGCTTGAACCTTGCAGATCTGCAGGTGTGTTCCTCCCCTGTTTTGACCTGAATTAATGTTATGACATCCACATTTTCTTCCCCAGTGGTAGTGGGCCTTTTCTTTTTTTAAGATAAGTTTAGCATCAAGGCTCACAAGATTCCAAAATGTCAGGAGCCCTCAGGTGGAGTTTCCAAAAGTGCCTTGGGAGTTTAAGATCCATCAGCAAATCAGCCCCACTTAGGAACAACCCAAGTATCTTGCAAATTGTAACTCTGTCCTTTGACATTAACTCTTAGCTGCCAAACATGCACAGGAAGTTTCTGTGTATCTGCATTTTCTTGGTTTACTGTTTTTCAGTAAACCACAGTTCTATTGCCAGGTTTGGTCTTGAGAGAAATAGCATCAAAACAAGCATGAGAAAAGATAAGACCATAAACGCAGGGCTGGATTTTTCAATAGAAGCCCAAGATTGTTAGGCACCTAACTCCTATTGAAGGTCATTTCAAATCGAGTCTTACATAGTCTTATCCCAGTGCTAAGGACCAAATTCAGACCTGGTGTTCAAAGATACACTTCGTTTTGGCCCCAGAAAGCTATTCTTTTGTCTCTGTCAAGTGCTGATGCTGCCAGCCTTGTATTATACTTGTCCCTTTACATTTTACAAGCCAATGTAGGCCCCTTTTCCTTCCACTTGCTGGCTGTGGAGTCAGACAGATAGAACAAAGGAATGAGTCTGCGAAGTCCTGGGTTCCTCCCGGAGCCCAAGGGAGAGCTCAGGATGTTCACATGACCTTCCCGGGAATGCAGACAGTGTCCTTCAGCAAGTGCTTGCTTTCTGAAACTACTGTACATTCCTCCATGTTCCCACTGCAGAATAACCAGCAAGCCCTGGATCCTGGATTTTGAATAGAGCCCCTCCACTTCTTTAGGTCTTAACTGGTTGTGTCAGGTTCCTAGGGCTGTTTGGATCCACTCCTGCCCCTAGAAGCCTAGCTGTCTTTTCAGCATCAGTCTACAGTCCAACCATCAATTGTAATTCTCCCTCCATTCAAAAAAAATGAATTTGAATAGCTGCCAGTTCAGCTTTCAGTCTTGATCAATACTTCTCATGCCTCCGTCCTCTTACTTCTCTTTTCCTCCCTTCCCATCCCCACAGAGTGCTTAACTGGGATAGTCCTCCTACCCTCGCAGCCCCTTGCTCTAAACGTAGAAGGTGTTTGGATTCCTGCATGCAAGAAGAGATCACAGTTGTCTTTGTTGTGTGCTGGGACACAGCTGTGACTGTCTAAAAGACCCAGCTGGCCAGTAAGAATGCATCTTTGGACAATCACACTAATAAGTCTTCTAAAATTCATGGAAATGAATCACTTCAGCTTGGGGGAATAATTTAGCCGGCCATTACAAAATGAAATTGCTACCTACCTGAAAGTTTAATGACACAAGAGCTACCTTAGCTGGGACTTCAGTTAAGTACCTAAAGACTGTGATTCATATCAGACCACTGGCCCATCACACTGTAGTATTCAATCTCCAGCAGCATCTAGTATTGAAATGCTGTGAAAAGGAACAGCTCCCATTAATCGACTTGGCCAGTTGTTTGCCTGTACTGGGGAAAAAATACCTTCTTTACCTGACCAATGATCCTTAATCCCTTAAGAAGTTACAGTTAGTCCTCGGACTTATGACACAATTGGTTCCTGAAAACTATGTCTTAAGTTGAAACCTAACCCGGAACCAATTTTCTCATAAGAAACAATGTTATAAATGGGGGATTGGTTCCTGAACCAAGGCCTGATACCCTATTTTCACCAAAAATACCTCAGAATTTTGTACTCGATCAATTATAGATGAGTAATATAGCTACATTGTAAATTGCAATCATATTTATTTGGAAGAACTTCTTTGAGGTGACTTTGCTGGACTTTTTGAAAGGCTCTTGGTTGGACTTTTTTAAATGTTCTTGGCTGGAGTCTTCTCAGGAGTCCTGGCTGCAGGTTTGTCTGGAGACTTGTCTGCTTTCTTAAAAAAAGTATCCAAGGAAGTTTGGACAGATGTTCTCCAGGGAGATGAGCAATGCAGTGAACTTGTTCGCTGGTGTGGCGTGGCATCTGATCAAGAGTTGTAAAGTTGAAACTGACGTCAGAATGTTGAAACAGGGCATCAGTTTATAAACGTTGTAAGTGCAAAACATTGTAAGTCGAGGACTGCCTGTACTTTATTCTTCTTCTGTTTGTATAAACTACTTGCATAGTTATCAAGCCCCAAATTATCTAGTACTTGTTTGAATCCACAGTCACAGTACTACAATCTTGTTTCTTATGTGCTTTGCTCTAGATCGAGGACCTACAAGTTAAGCTTCAGCATGCGGAGGCTGATAGGGAGCAGCTCCGAGCTGACCTGCTGCATGAGAGAGAGGCTCGGGAACACTTGGAAAAAGTGGTCAAGGAACTTCAGGAACAGCTGTGGCCTAAATCAAGCAATCAACCCAGCAGTGAAAACACAACAAACAACATTGAGAACTAAGAAAACACCACATTGTCTAATACACATACAGAATGACGTATATGCACAGTAAGGGAGGATGCGTGGGGTGTGCGTGTAAGTGCATGTGTGAGGAGGTGTGCTCATCTCCGCACACATCCATAAATATGGACTTTATTAGATGGAGGGCAAATGTTACTCTTTACAACAGAAGCACTGAATTACACCTCTTTTTCAATCCATATAGCACAACATCTTACTGTGCCTAAAACACACGAAGTGTTTATAAACTAAAACTTTTGAGTCCACAGCAAATTTTCTACTGGCAGACTTCAAGCAAGCAGCATCATCCAACTTAAATCAGAGTAAAAGGAAAGCAAGCATGGCAGTGCTTTTTTATGTTGCCCTTCTGCTTGCTGGAACACTTAAAAAAGCAAACAAACTTTTGTTATAAGCTATTTAAAATTATTACATCATACAGACTTGGTATTAAAACTATTAATGAGATTTTTGTAACGAACCTTTAAAAGCAAAACAAAACCCCCTTGATGCACAATTTTTAAATGACTTGTTACAGGCTTTGGGATTCTTAATGTAGAAGCCCTCTGGTGATGTTGCCATTTCATCAGCAATTTTCCACCCGTTTAGGAAGCCATCACCGTTTTAACCCTGTCACGTGGCCGTATGAGAATTTCAGAGTGCTTTTCAAAGTTGATTTTTTTTCTTAGTAAAAAGGATCTTCATTTTCCTGTGCTAAACCCA